CGCCTTATTCACCCTGTCATAATCAGCTCATCATTAACACCAGGACCACGCCTTATTCACCCTGTCATAATCAGCTCATCATTAACACCAGGACCACGCCTTATTCACCCTGTCATAATCAGCTCATCATTAACACTAGGACCATGCCTTATTCACCCTGTCATAATCAGCTCATCATTAACACCAGGACCACGCCTTATTCACCCTGTCATAATCAGCTCATTATTAACACACCAGGACCACGCCTTATTCACCCTGTCATAATCAGCTCATCATTAACACCAGGACCATGCCTTATTCACCCTGTCATAATCAGCTCATCATTAACACACCAGGACCACGCCTTATTCACCCTGTCATAATCAGCGCATCATTAACACCAGGACCACGCCTTATTCACCCTGTCATAATCAGCTCTTCATTAACACCAGGACCACGCCTTATTCACCCTGTCATAATCAGCTCATCATTAACACACCAGGACCACGCCTTATTCACCCTGTCATAATCAGCTCATCATTAACACCAGGACCACGCCTTATTCACCCTGTCATAATCATCTTGTGTATCAGTTAAAGGAGATGATTTATGGATGAAGTATAAGTTTTGTGCTACATGTTACTATCGTTGGTGAATGAGTGATTGTCTAATGTGTGATGTTTGGACACATGGTCACACATGGTCACAGTGTAGTGGGGTGACACATGGTCACATTGTGAAAGGGTGAGGCAGGATTGTTTCACTCATGGTCCTTCATGGACACTTTTTTCCTTTTTCTTGTCGTAAAAACTATATGTGATCTCTGTAACCATGTGACCTGAGATCTGGTGTCCATATTGGCCCAAGAAAATAAACCACTACCTCCCTACTCTACTCTACTCTACCGTACTCTACTCTACTCTACTCACTCTACTCTACTCTACTCTACCCTACTATACTCTACTCTACTCTACCGTACTCTACTCTACTCTACTCTACTCTACTCTACTCTACTCTACTCTACTCTACCCTACTATACTCTACTCTACTCTACCGTACTCTACTTTACTCTACTCTACCCTACCCTACTCTACTCTACTCTACTCTCCACTACTCTACTCTACTCTACTCTACCCTACCCTACTCTTTTTTACTCTACTCTACCCTACCCTACTCTACTCTACTCTACTCGGCTCTACTTTACTCTACCCAACTCTTCTCTTCCCTACTGTACTCTACTCTACTCTCCACTACTCTACCCTACCTTACCCTACCCTTGGGGTAGGGTAGGGTTTTTTAAAAGCCTTGCAATCTTAAGACTCATTTATTTGTTCAAGCCTTTAATTAGCTATTTTTGGGCTGATACGATTTCTGTGTTGTTTTGACCCTTTTCATATTGTATTAAATTTTGTGATGTTTTACTGTGTTTGTGGCCTTTGCCTGTGAAAGGTGCTATACAAATAAAGATTACTTACCCTACCCTACCCTACCCTACCCTACCCTACCCTACTCTACTCTACTCTACTCTACTCTACTCTACTCTACTCTACTCTACTCTACTCTACTCTACTCTACTCTACTCTACTCTACTCTACTCTACTCTACTCTACTCTACTCTACCCTACTCTACCCTACTCTACCCTACTCTACCCTACTCTACTCTACTACCAGAGACCAGAGAGCGGGACCAGAATGAGACCAGGAAGAGACCAGAGAAAGACCAGAGAGAGAGACCGGAGTGAGACCAGAGTGAGACCAGAATGAGACCAGAATGAGACCAGAATGAGACCAGAGAGAGACCAGAGAGAGACCAGAGTGAGACCAGAATGAGACCAGAGAGAGACCAGAGTGAGACCACTGAGAGCAGCGTTTACATATTACCCACGGCTAGTTCTCTGTCTGGGGGGAGTGTGAGTGCGTTTGGTGAGATCTCGGGTGCACACTAGGTCTCACCGTCGTGCTACTCACCGTTCGCGTGTGCGCGCACGTGCGTGCGCTCCTCGGGACTGCGCGCGTGTGTCCCGTGGGTTGGCCAAACAGAGGCAGAGACGCACACACACATTATAAGTGTTGAGGAGCGTCATGTGATCCTTATTTTGTGTTTTTGTTTCTTATGACTGTAAAGGGGGATTATTCAGTGTGGGGATTATCCTATTCTTTACTGTGTAGTGGGGGACTATTTCTATAGTATTGTTTTGGGGGTGAATGGACTTTAAAGTCAGTGAATGTATTTTGTGTTTGTCAAACGCCCAGGGGAGGGGCTTGTGCTTTAAGAGCAGGACCGGTCTGGCCTGCTCGAGTTTAGTGATGCTTGGTTGCAGAGAAGGCAACACCTGAGAACCTGAGATCCTGAGATGAAACATGCGCCTACAACTTGTAAATATTGCACTGTATTGCACTGGGGTAATAATGGGAGATAATAAATCACTGTGAAAAGTGTTTTTTGACTGAGCCATTGTGTTTTTGGAAAAAGACCCCACAACACTGTCATAATCAGCTCATCATTAACACCAGGACCACGCCTTATTCACCCTGTCATAATCAGCTCATCATTAACACACCAGGACCACGCCTTATTCACCCTGTCATAATCAGCTCATCATTAACAACAGGACCACGCCTTATTCACCCTGTCATAATCAGCTCATCATTAACACTAGGACCATGCCTTATTCACCCTGTCATAATCAGCTCATCATTAACACCAGGACCACGCCCTATTCACCCTGTCATAATCAGCTCATCATTAACACCAGGACCACGCCTTATTCACCCTGTCATAATCAGCTCATCATTAACACCAGGACCACGCCTTATTCACCCTGTCATAATCAGCTCATCATTAACACCAGGACCACGCCTTATTCACCCTGTCATAATCAGCTCATCATTCACACACCAGGACCACGCCTTATTCACCCTGTCATAATCAGCTCATCATTAACACCAGGACCATGCCTTATTCACCCTGTCATAATCAGCTCATCATTAACACACCAGGACCACGCCTTATTCACCCTGTCATAATCAGCGCATCATTAACACCAGGACCACGCCTTATTCACCCTGTCATAATCAGCTCTTCATTAACACCAGGACCACGCCTTATTCACCCTGTCATAATCAGCTCATCATTAACACACCAGGACCACGCCTTATTCACCCTGTCATAATCAGCTCATCATTAACACCAGGACCACGCCCTATTCACCCTGTCATAATCAGCTCTTCATTAACACCAGGACCACGCCTTATTCACCCTGTCATAATCAGCTAATCATTAACACACCAGGACCACGCCTTATTCACCCTGTCATAATCAGCTCATCATTAACACCAGGACCACGCCTTATTCACCCTGTCATAATCATCTTGTGTATCAGTTAAAGGAGATGATTTATGGATGAAGTATAAGTTTTGTGCTACATGTTACTATCGTTGGTGAATGAGTGATTGTCTAATGTGTGATGTTTGGACACATGGTCACACATGGTCACAGTGTAGTGGGGTGACACATGGTCACATTGTGAAAGGGTGAGGCAGGATTGTTTCACTCATGGTCCTTCATGGACACTTTTTTCCTTTTTCTTGTCGTAAAAACTATATGTGATCTCTGTAACCATGTGACCTGAGATCTGGTGTCCATATTGGCCCAAGAAAATAAACCACTACCTCCCTACTCTACTCTACTCTACCGTACTCTACTCTACTCTACTTACTCTACTCTACTCTACTCTACCCTACTATACTCTACTCTACCGTACTCTACTCTACTCTACTCTACTCTACTTACTCTACTCTACCCTACTATACTCTACTCTACCGTACTCTACTCTACTCTACTCTACCCTACTCTACTCTACTCTACTATACTCTCCACTACTCTACTCTACTCTACTCTACCCTACCCTACTCTTTTTTACTCTACTCTACCCTACCCTACTCTACTCTACTCTACCCTACCCTACCCTACTCTACTCTACTCTACTCTACCCTATTCTACCCTACCCTACTCGACTCGACTCGGCTCTACTTTACTCTACCCAACTCTTCTCTTCTCTTCCCTACTGTACTCTACTCTACTCTCCACTACTCTACCCTACCTTACCCTACCCTTGGGGTAGGGTAGGGTTTTTTAAAAGCCTTGCAATCTTAAGACTCATTTATTTGTTCAAGCCTTTAATTAGCTATTTTTGGGCTGATACGATTTCTGTGTTGTTTTGACCCTTTTCATATTGTATTTAATTTTGTGATGTTTTACTGTGTTTGTGGCCTTTGCCTGTGAAAGGTGCTATACAAATAAAGATTACTTACCCTACCCTACCCTACCCTACCCTACTCTACCCTACCCTACTCTACTCTACTCTACTCTACTCTACTCTACTCTACCCTTCTCTACTCTACTCTACCCTACCCTACCCTACCCTACCCTACCCTTCCCTACTCTACTCTACTCTACTCTACTCTACTCTACTCTACAATACCCTACTCTACTCTAATCTACTCTACCCTACTCTACTCTACTACCAGAGACCAGAGAGCGGGACCAGAATGAGACCAGGAAGAGACCAGAGAAAGACCAGAGAGAGAGACCGGAGTGAGACCAGAGTGAGACCAGAATGAGACCAGAGTGAGACCAGAATGAGACCAGAGAGAGACCAGAGTGAGACCAGAATGAGACCAGAGAGAGACCAGAGTGAGACCACTGAGAGACCAGAGAGACCAGAGAGAGACCAGAGAGCGGGACCAGAATGAGACCAGGAAGAGACCAGAGAAAGACCAGAGAGAGAGACCGGAGTGAGACCAGAGTGAGACCAGAATGAGACCAGAGTGAGACCAGAATGAGACCAGAGAGAGACCAGAGTGAGACCACTGAGAGACCAGAGAGACCAGAGAGAGCATATAAATGGACAGCTTGATGATGTCGTGACCTCCTGGTGGGCAGGTCCTGGCGCTTTGTGGGCGGACTGCAGTGTCCCGGGACCCTCTGCTCAGACTCTCACAGACTCAGGACGTTAAGGATGGAGACTCCTGCTCTGCTCCCCCTTGTCCTGCTCCTCATGGTCCTGGTTCAAGGTTCAGCCATGACACACCCCAAACCCGCCTGTCGCTACCCGCCCTCGCAGTGGTGCCACTCTCTGGAGATCGCCGTCCAGTGCAAGGTACCAGGAATCTGGTCTCTCGCTAGTCTCTCTCTCTGGTCTCTCTCTCTCTGGTATCTCTCTGGTCTCTCTTTCTCTGGTCCCTCTCTGGTCTCTATCTGGTCTCGCTCTGTTCTCTCTCTGGAGTCTCTCTGGTCTTTCTCTGGTCTCTCTCTGGTCTCTTTCTGGTCTCCGTGGTCTCAATATTTGGCCTCTCACTGGTCTCTCTCTGGTCTCTCTCTAGTCTCTCTCTAGTCTCTCTCTGGTCTCTCTCTCTGGTCTCTCTCTAGTCTCTCTCTCTGGTCTCTCTCTCTGGTCTCTCTCTGGTCTCTCTCTAGTCTCTCTCTAGTCTCTCTCTGGTCTCTCTCTCTGGTCTCTCTCTAGTCTCTCTCTCTGGCCTCTCTCTCTGGTCTCTCTCTCTCTGGTATCTCTTTGGTCTCTCTCTCTCTGGCCTCTCTCTCTGGTCTCTCTCTCTCTGGTATCTCTCTCTCTGGTATCTCTCTGGTCTCTCTCTGGTTTCTGTCTGGTCTCTCTCTCTAGTCTCTTTCTGATCTCTCTCTGATAAACTACATTTAACTGAATTAAAATGAGAAAGTGAGGAACAGTGTCTGTGTTGTTTCAGTCACATGAAAGTCAGGCCTCACTAACTGGACTCCACTGGTCTCTCATCAGACCAGGGACCAGAATGTGTTTTTCCGAGCGCCAGTGGACTGCAGACTGAGCTGTAGCGCCCTCTGGTGGTTATAGACGGAGCTGTAGCGCCTTCTGCTGGTGGTTGCAGGTGCTGAAGCAGTGCATGGAGCTGCGAGCGCTGCGTCCTCAGAATGCGCCTCTGGTCTCGGTCTCTGTCTTCTACCGCAGTCTGTGTCCGGCCTGGAGACGCTTCCTGGTTCACCAGCTGTTCCCCACATGGTCCATGCTACAGGACATCCTCCGTGTGCACCTGGTACCCTACAGCAGCTCCAAGGTACGAGAGACCAGAGAGACCAGAGAGAGAGACCAAAGAGAGACCAGAGAGACCAGAGAGAGACCAGAGAGAGACCAGAGATAGACCAGAGAGAGACCAGAGAGAGACTAGAGAGACCAGAGAGACCAGAGAGAGACCAGAGAGAGACCAGAGAGAGAGACCAAAGAGAGACCAGAGAGACCAGAGAGAGACCAGAGAGAGAGACCAAAGAGAGACCAGAGAGACCAGAGAGAGACCAGAGACGTACCAGAGAGAGACCAGAGAGAGACCAGAGAGAGACCAGAGAGAGACCAGAGAGAGACCAGAGAGAGACCAGAGAGAGACCAGAGAGAGACCAGAGAGACCAGAGAGAGACCAGAGAGAGACCAGAGAGAGAGACCAAAGAGAGACCAGAGAGACCAGAGAGAGACCAGAGAGAGAGACCAAAGAGAGACCAGAGAGAGACCAGAGACGTACCAGAGAGAGACCAGAGAGAGACCAGTGTAACTGCAGGTTTCAGTTCCAACCTGAGCTGGAGCCACAGACTCTGAATCTGAATCTGAGGAGATTGCGTCTGCTCAGTTTGGAATGAAGACCTGCAGACACGTGTGTGTCTGTTTGTGTGTGTGTGTGTATGTGTGTGCGTGTGTGTGTTGCAGGGCGCCCCCTCTGATTGGTTTGTTCCGTGTCAACCCGAAGATCCGGAGTGCAGTGTGAACATGATCGAGGTTTGGTCTCTCTCTGGACTATCTCTGGTCTCTCTCTGGACTATCTCTGGTCTCTCTCTGGTCTCTCTCGGGTCTCTCTCTGGTCTCTCTCTGGTCTCTCTCTGGACTATCTCTGGTCTCTCTCTGGTCTCTCTCTGGTCTCTCTCTGGTCTCTCTCGGGTCTCTCTCTGGTCTCTCTCTGGTCTCTCTCTGGTCTCTCTCTGGACTATCTCTGGTCTCTCTCTGGTCTCTCTCTGGTCTCTCTCTGGACTATCTCTGGTCTCTCTCTGGTCTCTCTCGGGTCTCTCTCTCGGGTCTCTCTGGTCTCTCTGACTCTCGGTGTTGTTGCAGTCCTGTGTGTTGGAGCTCTCCGGGGGGTCCGGGCTGGAGGTGGTCAGTTGTATGGAGACCTCCGCAGACGTCCTCAGCGCTGCCAGATCCGTGAGTCCCTGATTACCTCAGTCTTCCTGAAAATATGAGACAGGCTTCTGCTCTGTTCAAACAAGTCTGTACCGTTCCCTTTTATGTACCTGTGCTATATGAATGACCCGTGTTACAGTGTGTACCTGTGCTACATACATTTCCTGTGTTGCAGTGTGTACCTGTGCTACATACATTTCCTGTGTTGCAGTGTGTACCTGTGCTACATACATTTCCTGTGTTGCAGTGTGTACCTGTGCTACATACATTTCCTGTGTTGCAGTGTGTCCCTGTGCTACATACATTCCCTGTGTTGCAGTGTGTACCTGTGCTACATACATTCCCTGTGTTGCAGTGTGTACCTGTGCTACATACATTCCCTGTGTTGCAGTGTGTCCCTGTGCTACATACATTCCCTGTGTTGCAGTGTGTACCTGTGCTACATACATTTCCTGTGTTGAAGTGTGTGTACCTGTGCTACATACATTCCCTGTGTTGCAGTGTGTACCTTTGCTACATACATTTCCTGTGTTGCAGTGTGTACCTGTGCTACATACATTCCCTGTGTTGCAGTGTGTACCTGTGCTACATACATTCCCTGTGTTGCAGTGTGTACCTGTGCTACATACATTCCCTGTGTTGCAGTGTGTCCCTGTGCTACATACATTCCCTGTGTTGCAGTGTGTACCTGTGCTACATACATTTCCTGTGTTGAAGTGTGTGTACCTGTGCTACATACATTTCCTGTGTTGAAGTGTGTACCTTTGCTACATACATTTCCTGTGTTGCAGTGTGTACCTGTGCTACATACATTTCCTGTGTTGCAGTGTGTACCTGTGCTACATACATTTCTTGTGTTGCAGTGTGTGTACCTGTGCTACATACATTTCCTGTGTTGCAGTGTGTACCTGTGCTACATACATTCCCTGTGTTGCAGTGTGTACCTGTGCTACATACATTTCCTGTGTGTACCTGTGCTACATACATTTCCTGTGTTGAAGTGTGTACCTGTGCTACATACATTCCCTGTGTTGCAGTGTGTACCTGTGCTACATACATTCCCTGTGTTGCAGTGTGTACCTGTGCTACATACATTCCCTGTGTTGCAGTGTGTACCTGTGCTACATACATTCCCTGTGTTGCAGTGTGTACCTGTGCTACATACATTTCCTGTGTTGCAGTGTGTACCTGTGCTACATACATTTCCTGTGTTGCAGTGTGTACCTGTGCTACATACATTCCCTGTGTTGCAGTGTGTACCTGTGCTACATACATTCCCTGTGTTGCAGTGTGTACCTGTGCTACATACATTCCCTGTGTTGCAGTGTGTACCTGTGCTACATACATTTCCTGTGTTGCAGTGTGTACCTGTGCTACATACATTCCCTGTGTTGCAGTGTGTACCTGTGCTACATACATTTCCTGTGTTGCAGTGTGTACCTGTGCTACATACATTCCCTGTGTTGCAGTGTGTACCTGTGCTACATACATTCCCTGTGTTGCAGTGTGTACCTGTGCTACATACATTTCCTGTGTTGCAGTGTGTACCTGTGCTACATACATTCCCTGTGTTGCAGTGTGTACCTGTGCTACATACATTCCCTGTGTTGCAGTGTGTACCTGTGCTACATACATTTCCTGTGTTGCAGTGTGTACCTGTGCTACATACATTCCCTGTGTTGCAGTGTGTACCTGTGCTACATACATTCCCTGTGTTGCAGTGTGTGCGTCTCTTCGCGCCCTCCGTGTCCTGGGCTGCGGTACAGTCCTGTGTGAGCGGCTCTCGGGGCCCCCTGCTGGTGAACCAGAGCATTTCAGCCACACGCGCCCTCAGCCCCTCCCCCAGCCACCTGCCCTGGGTCACCATCAACGGAGTGAGCCCACCTGAGCCAGACTAAACTGGACTAAACTGGACCAAACAGGACTACACTGGAACAATCTGGGTCTGAACTGCTTAACAGAGTTGGGGGTGGGGTAGGGTAGGGTAGGGTAGGGTAGGCTAGGGTAGAGTAGGCTAGGGTAGAGTAGGGTGGGGCAGGGCAGGGCAGAGTAGAGTAGAGTAGAGTAGAGAAGGGTAGGGTAGGGTAGGTTAGGGTAGAGTAGAGTAGAGTAGAGTAGGGTAGGCTAGGGTAGGGTAGGGTAGGTTAGGTTAGGGTAGAGTAGAGTAGAGTAGGGTAGGCTAGGGTAGGGTAGGTTAGGGTAGAGTAGAGTAGAGTAGGGTAGGCTAGGGTAGGGTAGGTTAGGGTAGAGTAGAGTAGAGTAGGGTAGGCTAGGGTAGGGTAGGTTAGGGTAGAGTAGAGTAGAGTAGGGTAGGCTAGGGTAGGGTTGAATCTGCCTCAGTCTGAATCTGTTGCAGATTCAGACTGAGGCAGGTTCAGACTGAGGCAGGTTCAGACTGAGGCAGGTTCAGACTGAGGCAGGTTCAGACTGAGGCAGGTTCAGACTGAGGCAGACTGAGGCAGGTTCAGACTGAGGCAGGTTCAGACTGAGGCAGACTGAGGCAGGTTCAGACTGAGGCAGGTTCAGACTGAGGCAGGTTCAGACTGAGGCAGGTTCAGACTGAGGCAGGTTCAGACTGAGGCAGGTTCAGACTGAGGCAGGTTCAGACTGAGGCAGGTTCAGACTGAGGCAGACTGAGGCAGGTTCAGACTGAGGCAGGTTCAGACTGAGGCAGACTGAGGCAGGTTCAGACTGAGGCAGGTTCAGACTGAGGCAGGTTCAGACTGAGGCAGGTTCAGACTGAGGCAGACTGAGGCAGGTTCAGACTGAGGCAGGTTCAGACTGAGGCAGGTTCAGACTGAGGCAGGTTCAGACTGAGGCAGGTTCAGACTGAGGCAGACTGAGGCAGGTTCAGACTGAGGCAGGTTCAGACTGAGGCAGACTGAGGCAGGTTCAGACTGAGGCAGGTTCAGACTGAGGCAGACTGAGGCAGGTTCAGACTGAGGCAGGTTCAGACTGAGGCAGACTGAGGCAGGTTCAGACTGAGGCAGGTTCAGACTGAGGCAGACTGAGGCAGGTTCAGACTGAGGCAGGTTCAGACTGAGGCAGTCAGACTGAGGCAGACTGAGGCAGGTTCAGACTGAGGCAGGTTCAGACTGAGGCAGGTTCAACTGAGGCAGGTTCAGACTGAGGCAGGTTCAGACTGAGGCAGGTTCAGACTGAGGCAGGTTCAGACTGAGGCAGGTTCAGACTGAGCAGGTTCAGACTGAGGCAGGTTCAGACTGAGGCAGGTTCAGACTGAGGCAGGTTCAGACTGAGGCAGGTTCAGACTGAGGCAGGTTCAGACTGAGGCAGGTTCAGACGACGAGGCAGGTTCAGACTGAGGCAGACTGAGGCAGGTTCAGACTGAGGCAGGTTCAGACTGAGGCAGACTGAGGCAGGTTCAGACTGAGGCAGGTTCAGACTGAGGCAGACTGAGGCAGACTGAGGCAGGTTCAGACTGAGGCAGACTGAGGTTATTCTGATGTTTCTGCAGAACTTCTCTGAGCAGCAGCAGGACAGAGCCATGACCTCCCTCTTCAGCCTCATCTGCCAACTCTACCAGGTACCTCCCTAACACCTCCTCCCTAACACCTCCTCCCTGACTCCTCCTCCCTGACTCCTCCTCCCTGACACCTCCTCCCTGACTCCTCCTCCCTGACTCCTCTGCTCTAACTCCTCCTCCCTAAGACCTCCTCCCTGACTCCTCCTCCCTGACTCCTCCTCCCTGATACCTCCTCCCTGACTCCTCTGCTCTGACACCTCCTCTCTGACTCCTCCAGTCTGACTCCTCCTCTCTGACTCCTCCGCTCTGACTCCTCCTCTCTGACTCCTCCTCTCTGTCTCCTCCTCTCTGACTCCTCCTCCCTGACTCCTCTGCTCTGACACCTCCTCTCTGACTCCTCCTCTCTGACTCCTCCTCCCTGACTCCTCCTCCCTGACACCTCCTCTCTGACTCCTCCTCCCTGACTCCTCTGCTCTGACACCTCCTCTCTGACTCCTCCACTCTGACTCCTCCGCTCTGACTCCTCCTCTCTGACTCCTCCGCTCTGACTCCTCCTCTCTGACTCCTCCTCTCTGACTCCTCTGCTCTGACACCTCCTCTCTGACTCCTCCAGTCTGACTCCTCTGCTCTGACTCCTCCTCTCTGACTCCTCCTCTCTGACTCCTCCGCTCTGACTCCTCCTCTCTGACTCCTCCTCTCTGACTCCTCCGCTCTGACTCCTCCTCTCTGACTCCTCTGCTCTGACACCTCCTCTCTGACTCCTCCAGTCTGACTCCTCCTCTCTGACTCCTCCTCTCTGACACCTCCTCTCTGACTCCTCCAGTCTGACTCCTCCGCTCTGACTCCTCTGCTCTGACACCTCCTCTCTGACTCCTCCAGTCTGACTCCTCCTCTCTGACTCCTCTGCTCTGACACCTCCTCTCTGACTCCTCCAGTCTGACTCCTCCTCTCTGACTCCTCCGCTCTGACTCCTCCTCTCTGACTCCTCCTCTCTGTCTCCTCCTCTCTGACTCCTCCTCCCTGACTCCTCTGCTCTGACACCTCCGCTCTGACTCCTCCTCTCTGACTCCTCCTCTCTGACTCCTCCTCTCTGACTCCTCCGCTCTGTCTCCTCCTCTCTGACTCCTCCTCTCTGACTCCTCTGCTCTGACACCTCCTCTCTGACTCCTCCAGTCTGACTCCTCTGCTCTGACTCCTCCTCTCTGACTCCTCCTCTCTGACTCCTCCTCTCTGACTCCTCCGCTCTGACTCCTCCTCTCTGACTCCTCCTCTCTGCTCTGACACCTCCTCTCTGACTCCTCCAGTCTGACTCCTCTGCTCTGACTCCTCCTCTCTGACTCCTCCTCTCTGACTCCTCCTCTCTGACTCCTCCTCTCTGACCCCTCCTCTCTGACACCTCCTCTCTGACTCCTCCTCTCTGACTCCTCCTCTCTGACCCCTCCTCTCTGACTCCTCCGCTCTGACTCCTCCTCTCTGACTCCTCCTCTCTGACCCCTCCTCTCTGACTCCTCCGCTCTGACTCCTCTGCTCTGACACCTCCTCTCTGACTCCTCCAGTCTGACTCCTCCTCTCTGACTCCTCTGCTCTGACACCTCCTCTCTGACTCCTCCAGTCTGACTCCTCCTCTCTGACTCCTCCGCTCTGACTCCTCCTCTCTGACTCCTCCTCTCTGTCTCCTCCTCTCTGACTCCTCCTCCCTGACTCCTCTGCTCTGACACCTCCTCTCTGACTCCTCCTCTCTGACTCCTCCGCTCTGACTCCTCCTCTCTGACTCCTCCTCTCTGACTCCTCCGCTCTGGCTCCTCCTCTCTGACTCCTCCTCTCTGACTCCTCTGCTCTGACACCTCCTCTCTGACTCCTCCAGTCTGACTCCTCTGCTCTGACTCCTCCTCTCTGACTCCTCCTCTCTGACTCCTCCGCTCTGACTCCTCCTCTCTGACTCCTCCTCTCTGCTCTGACACCTCCTCTCTGACTCCTCCAGTCTGACTCCTCTGCTCTGACTCCTCCTCTCTGACTCCTCCTCTCTGACTCCTCCTCTCTGACTCCTCCTCTCTGACTCCTCCTCTCTGACTCCTCCTCTCTGACTCCTCCTCTCTGACCCCTCCTCTCTGACACCTCCTCTCTGACTCCTCCTCTCTGACTCCTCCTCTCTGACCCCTCCTCTCTGACTCCTCCGCTCTGACCCCTCCTCTCTGACACCTCCTCTCTGACTCCTCCTCCTTGTGTTTCAGGGGATAAAGCCGGCGGTCTGCACTGGAGCTCCAGTTCACCTGGACCAGGGATACTGCTGAATCCGTGTTGATGGTCCGTGTTGATGGTCCGTGTTCATGGTCCGTGTTCATGGTCCGTGTCCATGGTCCGTGTCCATGGTCTGTGTTCATGGTCCGTGTCCATGGTCCGTGTCCATGGTCTGTGTTCATGGTCCGTGTTGATGGTCCGTGTTCATGGTCTGTGTTCATGGTCCGTGTTTTGTTCTATGTTTATGATGTCACATTAAACTGGTTTTAAAAAAACACTGATGGAAACAATTACCGACTATTTTACCTCATTAAGGACCAGGCTGTACCAGGCTAAACCAGGCTGTATCAGGCTGTACCAGGCTAAACCAGGCTACACCAGGCTGTACCAGGCTAAACCAGGCTACACCAGGCTGTACCAGGCTAAACCAGGCTGTACCAGGCTAAACCAGGCTACACCAGGCTGTACCAGGCTAAACCAGGTTGTACCAGGCTAAACCAGGCTAAACCAGGCTAAATCAGGCTGTACCGGGCTGAAAGTGAGTTCTCTGTCTGATGACGAAGTATTTGCAAAGAGTTCCTCTCTGGTCTCTCTCTGGTCTCGCTCTGGTCTCTCTCTGGTCTCTGGTCTCCCTCTGGTCTCTCTCTGGTCTCCCTCTGGTCTCTCTCTGGTCCCCCCCTGGACTCTCTCTGGTCTCTCTCTGGTCTCTGGTCTCCCTCTGGTCTCTCTCTGGTCTCCCTCTGGTCTCTCTCTGGTCTCCCTCTGGTCTCTCTCTGGTCCCCCCCTGGTCTCCCTCTTGTCTCTCTCTGGTCCCCCTACTAGTCTCCCTCTGGTCTCTCTCTGGTCTCTCTCTGGTCCCCCTCTAGTCTCCCTCTGGTCTCTCTCTGGTCTCTCTCTGGTCTCCCTCTGGTCTCTCTCTGGTCCCCCCCTGGACTCTCTCTGGTCTCTGGTCTCCCTCTGGTCTCCCTCTGGTCTCTCTCTGGTCCCCCTACTAGTCTCCCTCTGGTCTCTCTCTGGTCTCTCTCTGGTCTCCCTCTGGTCTCCCTCTGGTCTCTCTCTGGTCGCCCTCTGGTCTCCCTCTGGTCCCCCTCTGGTCTCCCTCTGGTCTCCCTCTGGTCTCCCTCTGGTCTCTCTCTGGTCCCCCTCTGGTCTCCCTCTGGTCTCTCTCTGGTCCCCCTCTGGTCTCTCTCTGGTCTCCCTCTGGTCTCTCTCTGGTCCCCCTCTGGTCTCCCTCTGGTCTCCCTCTGGTCTCCCTCTGGTCTCTCTCTGGTCTCTCTCTGGTCTCCCTCTGGTCTCTCTCTGGTCTCCCTCTGGTCTCCCTCTGGTCTCCCTCTGGTCTCTCTCTGGTCTCTCTCTGGTCTCCCTCTGGTCTCTCTCTGGTCCCCCCCTGCAGTGAGATAACCATGCTGCATGTTGCTACATTAACCACCAGAGGGCGCCACCATCAAACACACTCTGCACCATGGGAGTTTCAGCCATGTTTGTTAGAATCTGGTTTGTTGCTGTGAGCCAATAATAATAATAATAATATCAATATTAATAATAGTAATAATAACATGATAATAACATGATAATAATAATAATTTAAATAATAATAACACGACAGTAGCTCAGTTGGTAGAGCATCAGCCTTTGAGCCTGAAGGTCATGGGTTCGAGTCCACCATGAGACCTACTTCACGACTCCCACTGATGACTGTCGTTGTGTCCTTGGGCAAGACACTTAACCCCACTTTGCCTGAAGCCCTGAAAGATCTCAGCTCCTGTGGACTCAGCACCTGCAGGAGGATCAGTGAGGACCAGGAAGAGCAGGAGGAGCAGTGAGGACCAGGAAGAGCAGGAGGATCAGTGAGGACCAGGAAGAGCAGGAGGATCAGTGAGGACCAGGAAGAGCAGGAGGATCAGTGAGGACCAGGAAGAACAGGAGGATCAGTGAGGACCAGGAAGAGCAGGAGGATCAGTGAGGACCAGGAAGAGCAGGAGGATCAGTGAGGACCAGGAAGAGCAGGAGGAGCAGTGAGGACCAGGAAGAGCAGGAGGATCAGTGAGGACCAGGAAGAGCAGGAGGATCAGTGAGGACCAGGAAGAACAGGAGGATCAGTGAGGACCAGGAAGAGCAGGAGGATCAGTGAGGACCAGGAAGAGCAGGAGGATCAGTGAGGACCAGGAAGAGCAGGAGGATCAGTGAGGACCAGGAAGAGCAGGAGGATCAGTGAGGACCAGGAAGAGCAGGAGGAGCAGTGAGGACCAGGAAGAGCAGGAGGATCAGTGAGGACCAGGAAGAGCAGGAGGATCAGTGAGGACCAGGAAGAGCAGGAGGATCAGTGAGGACCAGGAAGAACAGGAGGATCAGTGAGGACCAGGAAGAGCAGGAGGATCAGTGAGGACCAGGAAGAGCAGGAGGATCAGTGAGGACCAGGAAGAACAGGAGGATCAGTGAGGACCAGGAAGAGCAGGAGGATCAGTGAGGACCAGGAAGAGCAGGAGGAGCAGTGAGGACCAGGAAGAGCAGGAGGATCAGTGAGGACCAGGAAGAGCAGGAGGATCAGTGAGGACCAGGAAGAGCAGGAGGATCAGTGAGGACCAGGAAGAGCAGGAGGATCAGTGAGGACCAGGAAGAACAGGAGGATCAGTGAGGACCAGGAAGAGCAGGAGGATCAGTGAGGACCAGGAAGAGCAGGAGGAGCAGTGAGGACCAGGAAGAGCAGGAGGATCAGTGAGGACCAGGAAGAGCAGGAGGATCAGTGAGGACCAGGAAGAACAGGAGGATCAGTGAGGACCAGGAAGAGCAGGAGGATCAGTGAGGACCAGGAAGAGCAGGAGGATCAGTGAGGGGCAGGTGCTCTGTGAGCTGCTCTGACTGCCACCCCCGACCCAGAAATGGATTAAGGGGAAGAAAATGGATGGATGATAATAATAACATTCAGCTGCCCTGGGGCACACTGACAGAGGCGAGGCACTCAGTCTGTGCCATTGATACGCACACACGTAACTACAGACCACACGTAACTACAGACCACACGTAACTACAGACCACACGTGACAACAGACCACACGTAACTACAGACCACACGTGACAACAGACCACACGTAACTACAGACCACACGTGACAACAGACCACACGTAACAACAGACCACACGTAACTACAGACCACACGTAACAACAGACCACACGTAACTACAGACCACACGTGACAACAGACCACACGTAACTACAGACCACACGTGACAACAGACCACACAACACAGACCACACGTGACACAGACCACACGTAACAACAGACCACACGTAACTACAGACCACACGTGACACAGACCACACGTAACAACAGACCACACGTACTACAGACCACACGTGACACAGACCACACGTAACTACAGACCACACGTAACTACAGACCACACGTAACAACAGACCACACGTAACAACAGACCACACGTAACTACAGACCACACGTAACAACAGACCACACGTAACAACAGACCACACGTAACTACAGACCACACGTGACAACAGACCACACGTAACTACAGACCACACGTGACAACAGACCACACGTAACTACAGACCACACGTGACAACAGACCACACGTGACAACAGACCACACGTAACACAGACCACACGTGACAACAGACCACACGTAACTACAGACCACACGTGACAACAGACCACACGTACACACACAGACCACACGTGACTACAGACCACACGTGACAACAGACCACACGTAACTACACAGACCACACGTAATAACAGACCACACGTAACAACAGACCACACGTAACTACAGACCACACGTAACTACAGACCACACGTAACAACAGACCACACGTAACAACAGACCACACGTAACTACAGACCACACGTAACTACAGACCACACGTGACAACAGACCACACGTAACTACAGACCACACGTGACAACAGACCACACGTAACAACAGACCACACGTGACTACAGACCACACGTGACAACAGACCACACGTAACTACAGACCACACGTGACAACAGACCACACGTAACAACAGACCACACGTGACTACAGACCACACGTAACTACAGACCACACGTAACTACAGACCACACGTGACAACAGACCACACGTGACAACAGACCACACGTAACTACAGACCACACGTGACAACAGACCACACGTAACTACAGACCACACGTGACAACAGACCACACGTAACAACAGACCACACGTGACTACAGACCACACGTGACAACAACCACACGTAACTACAGACCACACGTAATAACAGACCACACGTAACAACAGACCACACGTAACTACAGACCACACGTAACACAGACCACACGTAACAACAGACCACACGTAACAACAGACCACACGTAACTACAGACCACACGTAACTACAGACCACACGTACAACAGACCACACGTAACTACAGACCACACGTAACAGACCACACGTAACAACAGACCACACGTGACTACAGACCACACGTGACAACAGACCACACGTAACTACAGACCACACGTGACAACAGACCACACGTAACAACAGACCACACGTGACTACAGACCACACGTAACTACAGACCACACGTAACTACAGACCACACGTGACAACAGACCACACGTAACAACAGACCACACGTGACTACAGACCACACGTGACAACAGACCACACGTAACTACAGACCACACGTGACAACAGACCACACGTGACAACAGACCACACGTAACTACAGACCACACGTGACAACAGACCACACGTAACTACAGACCACACGTGACAACAGACCACACGTAACAACAGACCACACGTGACTACAGACCACACGTGACAACAGACCACACGTAACTACAGACCACACGTAATAACAGACCACACGTAACAACAGACCACACGTAACTACAGACCACACGTAACTACAGACCACACGTAACAACAGACCACACGTAACTACAGACCACACGTGACAACAGACCACACGTGACTACAGACCACACGTAACTACAGACCACACGTAATAACAGACCACACGTAACAACAGACCACACGTAACTACAGACCACACGTGACTACAGACCACACGTAACTACAGACCACACGTAACTACAGACCACACGTGACAACAGACCACACGTAACTACAGACCACACGTGACAACAGACCACACGTAACAACAGACCACACGTGACTACAGACCACACGTAACTACAGACCACACGTGACAACAGACCACAC